GGTGCTGAAATGTAATGTCAGATTGTCCATCTCATGTACCAAGCATGTCGTAATAGTTGAGGGCCGTCACTTAATAATCGAATGGGTATTTCCACTAGGGTTCCGCTCGTACTTTGTCTCTAGATGGTGGCATTGGGGTATGATCTTGGCACTCAGTAAGCGATTTAACAGCTTGTACGCTAATCATAGCCTTAATTGATCCTTTTCGTGTCAATACAAAGCTCTGCTTTACTTTGCAGGTTGGGACCATTGAGGCTTTGCCGCTTCCGATGGCATGCACTCTGACAAGTGTGCAACCGGAGAATATCTACTACTTCGCTGTACGCTCCATTGATAGGTTTCAACGCTTCTCCGAGTGGTCTAACGTTGTCGATGTGCAGGTCAGCTAGTAGTAGTCTTCTGCTCTTTCATTCCACCGCCTCCTCTGCTGTCTCCCTCCTCTCTTGCCTGCCTCGCGTCGATAGTCCCACCTATGTGTATAAAGTTAGTCTGTTTGTATCTGTAATGTATTTAACACCTTTGTATAAAATATTTAGACCTTGTTGCCCCCGTCCTCTCCCCCCCTTCAATCTCTGTCAACTCACCTCCCTGCTAGGTACAAAAATGCGTCATTTCTGTCGAAGAGAACAACTCGTATTGAATGGTTCCTTTACAAGATTCTCTTCCCCCATCTTATTTAGATATTAAGTTTCTAATGCATCATGCATAAATAAGTACTAAGCATGTGGTTGACTTCTGGACCTTATTTTTGTGTTGACCCCATATCTCCTGAAATGCAGGGTCCAACAAAGGAGTTTACATTATCTTCTATTGGTACATCTAGCACTCGTAAGCAGGAAGGTGGGGTCTGTACATGAATGGCTTGGAAGGGTGTGATCAAATACTCAATTATATGGCAACGCTTGATCATTTAGTCCTAGATTTTGCCAGGACACGGTTTTTGGGAGACGAGAGGCTAAATTGAACCAATCGCAACGTGCACTATGCAGAGCTTATTTCGATCTGAGGGTGTCAAAACTAGAAACTTTGGCAGATCTTCCTTCGATAGAAGATGCGATCAAGCCAAATTCAAGCTTCGGTCTTGTCAGAGCAGTGAGACGATGGATCCAACGGTGTCTTTCTAGAAAACATTTTCTAGACCATCATGGGAATCAGAATCGCTTCTAATACAGACTAATGTTATATAAGAAGATTATAGGAACTGACGTGATCTGCTTTCCACCGACTAATTGTTGGTAGGAGCCGAGAATAGGTTAGCTGTACTATTTGAGCACCTAGTTTGTTCACGTGCTGCGATTGTGAAACTGTTACAAAGGTGTCAGCTTTCTCATTGTGCCG